CAGCATCAGAGGAGCAGGAAAGCTGACGTTTTGGGTCAGGACCCTTTATCACTTCTGAAGAAGGGTCCCGACCCGAAACGTCAGCTTTCCTGCTCCTCTGATGCTGCCTGGCCTGCTGTGTTCCTCCAGCTCCACACTGTGTTATATCTTAGGAGAATTCTAAGCCACGGTGGATGTCTAGTGTGGAGTGCAAAGGAGTTCAGTGGTAAGGCAAGCATTTATTACTCAAATCTAGCTCGGAAGGCCTTTTGAGGTTGTACAAAAGTGTAACTATTAAAGTCACAATTGTCCAGATGTTTATTTTCCTGATTCATTTGAAAATTTTTTAAAACTATTTTTAGTTGCTGCACTCCTTTTAAATGTTGGTGTTGAAATATCTTTGTGTTTCTTTTTCTTTTCTGCTTTCAGTGTTTCAGAATTATTGGACCTTTATGAGGAAGATCCTGAGGATGTTCTCTATAATCTTGGATTTGGAACAGATGAACCTGACCTTGCATCTAAAATTCCATGTCGATTTTTTAATGCTGCATCATTTGCAAGAGGAATTGATTTTAAGCTATTTTTAGATGCTCAAATGCAACGTGTGGAATTGGACAATCCAAATTTTGCTCTTACAAGTAGGTTTCCCTTTTAAAAAATCGGATGTATCATTATTCTGTTTTTAACATTGTGCAACATAACCTAACTGAATAATTGTCATTTATTCACACATTTATTTTCTGAAGAAATAATCATGCTTCCCATTTATTTTCAAAAAAGGAAAAGCAATCTATATTTTAACACAAGTGAATCTCAATCCTGATGACTGTAAGTATTGTAAGTGGCATCCTGCTTACATATTCTTGACCCTGTTTCCACAGAGAAAAATAACCAGAGTGCAAATTGGTTCCTAATTTGATACCAAATTGGCAGTTCCAGGTCACGAAGGAATCACTTTATGTGGAAGTTCTTTCCTGTCCTAAAACAAACTATAAAGAGATGCAAGAATCTAGCAGATAGGAAGAGATTTTAAGCAATGCACTTTTATGATGTGGTTCTTTCAGAATGCAAGTAACATTTACCAGTTTCAAACTCATTGGAAATAACTTGAAAGTACAATTATTCTTCTCCCATTGTAGGTGTCAGGTGTTTTGACCTCTCTTGGGCCAATTGAGGCTGAGAAATGACTAACTAATGACAACAAAGAATCCTCCAACCATCACTGTTACCACATCACACTTCACTGAAACCATCCCCCTTGTTGTAAAACTCTGACAATTCCACATCCTACCATGGCCAATCTGCTATTTAATTGAAAATGTCATTTAAATCTGAATGATTCTGGCCAATTTTATGTTCCTTTTCACTTATTGGTTTAATTTCCATGAGATCTTCTGTATATTTATTAAATAACAAATATTTTGGTCATTTTTTATGTTCAAATGTTCACTGTGATCTGAAATGTCTTACAATTATAGCTTAATACATACACATGCCAGATTTTAAACCTTTCAGACTTAGTTTCAACTGCCTCCAGGGCCTGACCAGTTCCGATTCCTGTAATCTCCTTCAGTCCTATAACTTTCTGATTTGCACTCTAATTCTGGCCTCTTGTGTATTCTAGCTTTGAACACTACATCATTGACTGCCTTGCCTTAAGGCACCTAAGCTGTAAGATGTGTGTTTTTGTTACTGGTCACTGGCCCTAATATCTCCTCCCCTATCAAGCGCTGAATCTATTGATGCTTGTATGAAGGACATTGTGAATATTTGATATTTTAGGATGCTGTCTGAATACAAATAGCCGTTGCTTGACTAGTATTACTTTATAAATTTTTTTTTAAAGAATTTAGGTGGAGAATTAGACTTATTCCGTTGGAATGGTAGTACATCTCTTGAGATAACGTTACATGATTTCAAGCAGTAGTCATCACTATTCACCATTAATGGTCACCATGACTGCTCTTACTTGGGCGTTGTACAGTCGTAGTAGATATAAAAATTATAGAAAGTGCTGTCTGTCTTGTGCGTCTATCGTTTCAGATCGCAGAGAGAAATTTTGAGTCAGACTGTTATAAATTTTATTGTTATTAAATCCTTCAGTGTATTGTTGTCATATTCTAGGCTCTATCATGTATATTATTCTTTGTATGATAAATTCTTCCCTTCAATTACAGGCCGGTTCCGCCAGATTAAAGTTCTCACCACAGTGGCTAATGTATTCTCCTCACTGTATTCTCAAGTTTCTGGTGCCCCTGTGAAAAGGATCGGTAGTTCAACCGAAGACCCAGCTGCAGGTGAAGCTCCTGCAAATGGAAACATTGCAGCTGGTAGATTAAAGAAAACCATGTCAAAACTCCATTTACTTGGGCCACAGCAGGTAAAAGTATCAGAAACAAGCAATCAAGCAGAGTCAGCAGATACGGAAAATTCTCAAGCATCACAGTCTCCTGGCACCAACGAAAGTATGACTGACAATGAGAAGAAAGAGGAGGTAAAACAAAAGAAAGAAGCAAGGCTGCAGAAATGGCGTAAATTGACTGACTCTTCACTGAAGCCTGTAGCTGAAGAAGTGATTGGTGGAAGTGATTCTCCTTTAAGTCCCTTAGAATCTATCCCTCAGGGGACTATGTGCGACATAACAGCTGGCCAGACATCCGTGCTGAATGGTTCTGTGTCCACTCGGAAAGGATCAGGGAATCGTCTGAAAGAGGATAGTAGAATCTCAGATTCTGTTCTAACTGAAGACCTCCACAGTACCTCCACAGACACAGAACATGAAGCCAGCAGTGACCTGACATCTGTCCACTCCCAGGAAAGTTCAGAGATTGTGAGCATGGGGTCAGTGTGTTCAACTCGTGATAAAGGGCCTGCAGCAACTATTCAGCATCCGTTTGTGAAAACTCTGATGGAAGAGCAGAAGGAATTCTCATTTGATTTAGAAGAGGCAAGTTGTCACTTCGGTTTGGCATTAACCTTTGAAAGGATTTGCTCAACATGTTGTTATGTACAAAATTAACCAATTAACTAATGTCCTCGAGGGAAGGAAATCTGGCCCAGTCTACGTATGACTTCTGACCCACCTAAACTACCCACCTTCCTTGCCACTCTCTGCCAAAACTAACTACCTACCCTCTCCCTCACCCTACTACCCCTGACCCTACCCAATCATGCGACATCTCTGTTATCAACAAGATGTAATTTTTACCCTGCAGCACCCCCCGCTTCCCCTCACTCTAGCTCCCTGACTTGACCACCTGTACCCAGGCTCCCCTCAACCCACCTGCCACCTCAACCAATCCCATCATTTCTCATAAAAACCAAAAGAACTGCGGATGCTGTAAATCAGGAACAAAAACAAAGTTGCTGGAAAAGCAAGTTCTGAGGAAAGGTCACCGGACCCGAAACGTTAACTCTGTTTTCTCCTCCACAGATGCTGCCAGACCTGCTGAGCTTTTCCAGCAACTTTGTTTTTGTTCCATCATTTCTCATACTCTGCCATTCAGGCTGGATAGGTAAACTTATCACACAGCAGCTAGAGTCAGAGTCCTCGAAGTCTATAGCATAGAAAAAGGCCCTTTAGCCCATCAAGTCTGCACCAGTCATAAACAAGCACCTAACTATTCTAATCCTGGCTTCATAGCCTTGTATTCCTTGACATTTGCAAGTGCACATCTAAATATCTTTTAAATGTAATGAAGGTTTCTGCAGGACATTGCACATTTGGAAACATTTTAATTTTAGACACTTAAAAAGGCCTTACAGCATAAAAGTTAGGGATAGGTGATTTCCACCACAATGATAGCATCCTGCTGATTGGATCATATAGTGAGCTATATAGTATGCAGGGTTGATAGAGGGACGTGCAGCCTAATAGTTCAATATTTGATCGAACCCGATCTGACAATGGATGTCTGACCCAGGTCTGTGCCAGATTCTCTGAATCTGAGCCACATGGATTCTGTCAGGAGTCAAGATGAAGGACATTCTGTGTGGATCAATCGGAGTGACAAAAATTTAGGATCTTGCAGGAGAGATGAGACAGCAAAGGTAGACATGAGATATGATGAAGCTGTTCCAGACCATGGGAGTGTTGGCGTGAAAAAGAGCCAGATTTTTATGCCGCTTGGGAAGAATTTATCTTCCAAGGGCAGAACTGAGGAAGAGGCAGATGAAGGCACATATTCTGGGTGCTTTTAACCTTCGGCAGGTTTGGAGTGGTCACTGTTATCTTAGGTTTAGACCTTCTCGGCCTATAGAGACACCTTGCAGTGGAAAAAGAATATTATAAGATAAGTTTATCAGGAAACCACAGTTACCTGCATGTCTGTAATGTGCCCAAATCTCACTCACCATCTCCATGTCTTTTACTTCATAAGGTATTAGGACATTGAAGGATATTACTCCTCTTGTGGTCTCGCTGGCGTTGAAGAAGATATAGTAGATGAATAGGGAGAGTGGTGGGGGTTAATTTATGAAAGCTGTCTGGGGGAATGGAACCTGTGAATCTCAAAGATAGAAGACCTTGCTGCAATCTTGCTGACAGCTCTTCCTGCTGTAGAGACTGGTTGCTTGCTTTTATAGCCTGCACAAACCTGGAATTGAATCAGCTGATGGTGTCAGAGGACATGTCCTGTCCTGCTCTACAGTATGATTACATGCTGCATGTACTTACAGTTTGCATGCAATAGCACTCCCAACATGTGAACATGAGGTAGTGTCTGCTTTGGTCCTGATGTTGACAGCTGTGCTCTTAAATTCCATCCACAGAGTGAAAATTTATGCTAAAACTTCTCTAAACATTGCATCAGCCTCGACTGAAGTATTGTATGTAGCACTTGACACATTACTTTCAGAAGAATGTGAACACTTTGGAGTGGGTGCGGAAAAGATCTATGACAATGGTCCTCAGCATGAGGGATTTCATTTACATGGATAAATTGGAGGAGCTCCTGCTGCTCCCTTGGAGAAGAGAGGGTTGCAGAAAAATTTGTACAGGTCTCCAAAATCATTTGGTGTCTCAACAGTAGATAGAGAGAAACCGTTTCCAATGGTAGCACATAGAGGATGTGGATCTAAGGTAAATGGCAAAAGAACCAACACTGACTTCATTTAAAAAAAAATTATATACAATGAGTAGTTAGGATCAGGGATACACTGCTGAGTGTGTGTTGGAGGCAGATTCAATCATGAGTTTCAAATGGACTTGGACAGGACTAAAGGGAAAAGGCCGATTTTCTTTTTTTTTTCTCCTCGTAGGGAGCCAGCAAGGACACAGTTGGGTGAATCATCCGATCTCTGTGATAACTATTCTATTGGTACTGTTACAGACCAAAGACACACAGATCAGTGAGGGTGAAACTCGGTAGGGTGTTTTTGATGTCTTGGTTTTCTCAACTCCTGCTGGAGGCACAGTCTAACATTTATTGACTAACCAGCTCAGTCAGTCAAGGTGCTGGAAAATAATTAGCCTGTAATTCATTCCAATTAATTCCACTTAATGTTGCAATGAAGCCACTCTTGGTGATGCACATTGAAGTTCTACCCAATATTCATACTGCACCCTTGTTGCTTTTTTTCAAATACTGTTCAATGTGCAGGGGTACTAATTCAGCAGCACAGGGAATACTGTAGTTTTTGCTGCTCATATTGGTCTTGATACTATTCAATTTCATAGGTTCAGAGTCAATATTAAGTGTACATAAAGCTGTAAATACTGATTCTGAGAGTATGATTGCCAGGCTGTTGCTTAATGAGCCTGTAGGACAGATTTCCTACTTTTGCATGTCCACAGATCTTAGGGAAGAGAACTTTGCATGATTGAATAGGCAGAGTGTGTTTAGACAGGTAGTTGGGTAATTCAACCAGTTTTCTTACTCTGTTTTTCACAGCAGTTTCTTGTAACTCATTTGCTTGTTAGGCTATTTTAGGGAACAGTTTAGATTCAGCTACATTGCTGCAGGTCTACGGTCCCATATAGACTGGACCCAGTAAAGATATTGGTGAAGCAGATAGGCTTTCACAAAAGTCTCCTGGCTTTATGATCACCAGGAGTGATGCAACATTTCTTTTTCCCCCAGATTAACTAGCTAGATTTAAATTGCTAACTGCTATATTGGAATTTGTACGAGTTTCCAGATCACCAATTCAGTAAAAGTAACAACTTGGTTACTATAGCTGCTTTGTAATTTGGAATAGTAAAGGTACTTTAGAAATATCAATTTTTAGATACTTTTGTTTAGAATTCATGACTTGTAAACAGTTACCTATTTAGGACAACGTGCAAACATGATGAAGGATTCAACAAGCAACAGTAAATGAGACGTCCTCTTAAGATAAGGTGGTGTTTTTTGCTTTGCTTCAAAATGATTTCTCACTTTATATGTATATGGTGGCAGTTAGCTTATAATTTTATTGAACAGGTTCAAAGCAATGAAGGTGAAGGGACAAATATTCCAGCAACTAGAAGTCATGCTCTACACGACAGAGTTTCAGCAGCCAGTAAAAGTAAGTAACACTTGAAAGATTTAAGAGCATTGTAATTTTCTAGATTTAATTTTAAACATTACATTTGTTTTGACTGTGACATGCAAATATTAAGAGTACATCCAATTCCGTGGTACAAGGATCATTGTAACAACAAAGTGGTTTGATTTAAGATACCAAAGTAAATTTACGCTGTTTTAACTTAATTGAAATATTTTTTGCAATTTCCAACTTGTGCAATATTTTGGATTTGTGTTTATCTGCTTCTGCATTCGAGAAACATTGGGATTCGCATGGGCTTATACTTCCACTACTGCATTTGATATTTAGAGAAACTTTATCTCATTTAATCATTTATCATTAAAATATGACCATTACATAATAGATTACTAGCTTACTCAATATCTCTTGGCTCTTTAAATCTAGAAAGTGGGCAAGTGTTTTTTTCCTGAATTCAGCATCTAGTAACAAACCAAATGCAGAGAATATGATGTGTTTTAGTTGTGTTCTGTCAACTTTGTGTCTTATCGAGGAAAGGTATTTTGGCAAATTTCTGTTTTCCTTCCATTATTCCTGAACATGGTAGTCATCGAGCAGTTAGTCTGAATTGACCCAATTGTAATGTGTTGAATAAACCTCCTTATTTACATGCACAGTACTTGTCCTCCCCTGAAATTAATAACGTTGTTATTTTGCTTACATGGTATCAGGTTGTGCAGAATTATCTCGTGAGTTGAACTATGCTATGCAGCTTCTTTTTCAACGTAGACAGTTATGGCTTTTAACGGTACTTTCTAATGTGCTGTAATTGAGTTGGTTTTGATTCAATGGAAACAGAAAAAAAAAGCAGGTTTGTGCTGAGTTATATAGCTACTGATTCAGATAAAAATTGCAATTTATTAAATATCTGCAGTGAATGTGAAGCACCTTTCCTGGTATTTGGATATCAGTACTGACTGATTTCGTTCGTGTAAATGAGCATTGACACTCGAGTGAGAAGTTGCGTGCATTAAGGTTGTAAATTGAACAGATTTAGTGGAAATGTTTGCCCCAGAATAGTTTGAAGTACTTGAAAGAAAATCACCAAGTTATTTAGTTTATATGAAAGGATTCTTTAACTTTTCTCCAACTAAGAAATGGGCTGAATTAATGCTGAGAAAATAGGAGTAACAAATTTGCTTTAGAAAATCAGAAAATTTGCCTGATTTCTGAAGACTTCGACTGCACCAAAATAAGGTTTAACTCAGCCACTAATCTGTTAGGGATTTGACTTGTGACCACTGCAATGCTTTGAAAATCCATACAAAAGGAAACCATTCTTCTGTCATTCTGTTTTGTATTGATACACAGTTGTTGAGATTACTCAATACCTCCATAATAAAAACCAATTCCTGCAGATGCTGAGGATCTACTTCTTCATCTCTAGATTAATTTACTATTTAGATCAATACCTCACTAACTTTTGTACCTTTTATATTTTTGTCTCATCAGTGGGGATGTTATGATAGATTTACACCATTTTGTGATTGGTACCACAGGAATTATGTATTTGCAGTCGGTTTGTGACGCCAGCTATATAGACGGCATACGTATAATATACATATTCTGATCCTGATCCTTGCTATGTACCTTTTTATCCTTTTATATTTGGGTCACCACTGTGCCTGTGCTAACTCTAGTAAAAAAAATCTACTCAATTCGACCCACTGTCCTGCCATATAATCCTGTAATCTTTTCACTTTCAAGAAAGCATCCAGCCCCTTTAGCAGGTTATAATTCCATCTGTCTATAGCACATTTATACATTTTTTAAATGTTGTATTCTAGCAATAAAATCAAATGGCCTTAACTGCATTGCCATACTATTTGTTTCACCATTTCTCAGCAACCACCTGGTAACTTCTAAATTTTCTTGTAATGTATGACTGATTTATTTGAACGAATGAGCCCTTTAAATGTTTTTGTTTGGCTATATGTGTGCAGTACCTTTTAAATGACTGACTTTTCTGCAGGTTGTTCAGGAACTTCCACATTAATGCATAGCTTGGAAGGAACTTTGAAGAAACTTTAACAGCATTAATAATCACTGATGGTACCCACTGGCATTCAACAGTAATCTGAAGCTTAACTATTGGGAAACTGAAACCAAATGTTCTGTCAATGTTTGTTGCTGCAGGTGCATGTGGATATCTGTGAGGGCAACCAGGCACCTGCGACTGGTGTGAACAATGCAAGCAATTTACTAAATGCCTGTAAATAACCAAATTGAAGGATTGTAAAACTAACAATATATGGAGTGGGAAGAAGTGCAAATCAGTTTTGGTAAATTCAATACCAAGTCGGATACAGAAAGGGAAAGGAAGAGAGAGGACTAAAAATCAGAAAGGAATAGTTAAGATATTTTTTTCTTATTTTCAGATGCCTCTATCCCTTTTCTTACTTCTAAATCTTCTCCAGCTTCTCAAGCCTCCAAGACATGTGTCCAATTCTGGCCTATTGAATATCCCCATTTTTAATTCTTCCACCATTGGTGGCTATGCCTTCAGCTCCAGCCTTTGAAGTTTCCTCCCTGAGCCCATCTATCTCACTTTCCTCTTTAAGAGGTTCTTTAACACTGATCCCTTTGGCCAAACTTTTGGGGATCTGACCTAATGTCACTTTACATGGCTCAATATCAAATTTTGCTTTATAATGCTCCAGTGAAGTGCCTTGCAGTGTTATATTACATTTATAGGTGTTTGTAGCTCAACGTCGTTGTTGTTAATAAGATACTTGGGCTGAAAGGGACAAGACTTCATTTTCTCTGGTGAGTTTAGCCACAGAAGTACAACAATGTCATAGCACCCAATGGACTTCAATGTTGCACTATGCAGCAAGATGTTATTTTTTGTGAAGCTGATAGGAACAGCACTTCTGACAAACAATTTTGGATTTAAACAAAAACAAAGTTGCTGGAAAAGCTCAGCAGGTCTGGCAGCATCTGTGGAAGAGAAAACAGAGTTAACGTTTCGGGTCC